TTTGGTTACATATTGTAACCCAAGACAGATGTGAATGTATATTTTGGGAAAAGCAATCTTTCTTTGCTATGACTCACATCATTCACAGCAATAAGGAAAAAAAGAAAAGGTTTTTAAAAAGCAAGAGAAAATAGGCTGAAAACTTCTGATGCAGAAATTTAGTACATCTTCCTGTTGCAAATAAAAGATCAACTGTGGGGTATTTCTAGAGGGACTTTTGCATCAATATCAGGGTTCAAAATTTAGAAGTCATTAATATATTGGTGTCCCTGTCTAGAAATCTGACAAAATCAGACAAATTGTGTGGTATTCAGTAAAACAATCTTATGTGCCTGTAAGCAGTGAATTAACTGGCTTAAGGAAAAACTATCAAAGATAAAAAAAAAAAAAAGACCACCGGATAACTGAAAACAGGCAAATACATAGGATCTCTAGATCTCTTTTCCCAAAATGTATTCATAACTATTAAAATTCTTTGCTTCTGATTTATGGGTAAAACTACTCATGCCAGCTTGTTGATTTGTGCCTCCTGTATTTACATTCTCTTTGTATTTCAGATTGTTATCTCTTAGACTTATTTTTATTTTTTTAAACTATTTCCTTGTAGGAAGATCTCACCTTGCTGCAGTTGCCTCATTAATGTATTCCACGGTCACTCTCATTCTTTCCAAGGTAAAAGTGCTCTGCTAAAATCAGTCATTTTCAGTTACTGATGTTCTACAATAAATGTCTTTCATAAAAATTGGTCATATGCAAAAAAAAATTTGTTTACTTAATGCTACAATTAAAGCCTCATGGGATATTCCAGGTCAGTTTGATCAATGTAATATCTAAGAATATCTAACCAGATCATCCAGGACTGCTGAAAAATGATGGAAAGTGTCTTGGTGAGCACCTCCGCCAGGTCTCTCAGAAGTCTTGGGTGGATTCCACCCAGTCCCATAGACTTGTGCTCATCTGTGTGGTGCAGCAGGTCACTGACCATCTCTTCCTGGATTGCAGGGAGACCATTCTGCTCCCAGTCTCTGTCTTCTAGTTCAGGGGTCTCGATTCTTAGAATACAGCTGATCCTATTACTAAAGACTGAGGCAAAGGCAGCTTTAAAACCTCAGCCTTTTCCTCATTTTTAGTCATCATGTCTCCTTCTGCAGCTAACAGAGGATGGAGAATCCTTGGCCCTTCTTTTGATACTGATGCATTTATAAAAAAATTTCCTACTGTCTTTTGCTGCAAAAGACAGATTAGTTTCTATCTAGGCTTTGGACTTTCTAATTTTCTCCCTGCATAGCCTCACATCTTTGTACTCATTGTGTGTGGTCTGCACCTCCTTCCAAAGGCCATAAATCCTCCTTTTTTTCCCTAAGGTACAGCCAAAACTCCCTGTTCAGCTGGGACACTGACTCATCTCATGACATGTGGGGACAGTCTGCTTCCGCATCTTTGAAACTTTCTTCTTGAATAGTGTCCAGCCTTCCTGAGGATGTATGCTTTTCAGGACTGCCTCCACAGTGACTCTGCCAAGCAGCCTCCTAAACAAGTCAAAGTCTGTCTTTTGGAATTTCAAGGTGGCAGTTCTGCTGTCCCCACTCCTTACTTCTTTTAGAATAGAGAACTCAGTAACTTCATGATCGTCGTGCCCTAGACAGCCCATGCTACGTGCATCTGCATAGAGGCATTTAAGTTGGGCCTCTAATGAGGCTCACCTATTGACTGGAATTCTTTTGCACTGCTCTTCAAGTGCTGTCCTGCTGACCTGTGAGAAAGCTCTGGGCATCTGTTTCTGGGATTGGCATCAAACTGGTAGGAGTGGGATAGACCGAGGTTCCCCTCCCCTGGCAACCTTAGTTTGAAATCCTCTTCATCAGCTTGGCAAGCCTATGTTCTTCCTCTTCTCTGACAGAAGAACCCCATCAGCCCCCAAGCAGACTGGGTTTTTCAAAGCAAGTACCATGGGATTTCTAGCTATTTGTTGTTATCATATCTAGCTAACACAGAAGGTCAGATTTGAATTTCACTTGAGTAAAATAAATTAATAGATTTAAAATGTACCATAGTAGACTAGATATACTCTGTCTTGTCTCTGACATTTTGGATGTGATCCTATATATAACCTTTTTTTTGTGAAACACCGAAGTTTGATAAATGGACAATTTAAAAAGCGTAAGTAATATCCTGTCCCGCCTGCTATGAACATCACAATTAACCTGATTCATGGGACATGAGTGTCATGAAATACATTGTTTGGCAAGCACTCTAATTACTTATACTAACAGCAAATCTGAAGACTACATTTGAAACAAATCTGAATGCCATATATCATAAAGTTTGCTGTAGGTTTCTTCTGATAATTTGCCATTCTTTGGGCACTAAAGAATTTTGTGGAAAGCTCTCCTTTTTCCCTTTTATTTTTAACCTCAAGTCTAATAAAGTTTGAGCTGAATTTGAGATTATATAGTTATACAGAGCTGTGTCTAGACTAGAAAGTGTAACTTTGGATTTCAGATGTGATGCTGAGACAGGTGTCTCAGAAATAAGAGTCAAGTTAGTAGTCTGGGGTTTTTTTAAATACAGTTCCTAATCTTCAGCTGCTTACAAAACTGATTGCTGGAAATATTTAGTTTTCTTCATAGGTCTTTTCTTCTAACTGTCTTAATAACCAGAGATTTTGTGTTATGTTGCATCTTTTTCACATTATTTTTTGTTTCCTAATGCTTTTGAGACTAAAAAAAAGGTCTGATGCCAAAATAAGAGATAATAAGAAAAATAGCAGAGACACCAAACATTTACATTTTTTTTCCAAAAGCAGTTTCATCATCAGTGATATTGTTATTTGAAAGATTGTACTCTCCAGCTTCTCTGATGCTAAGGAGCTTTAAAACATCGTCTCAGCTGCGGGATGACTTCTGAGTAAGTAGTAGAATTTTTGATCTTTTAGCTACTTAATGATCCATGGGAACATTTTTTTTGTGGTTACAGTCTGCTTCTTTATTTGCCAATATCTCTATTATTAGCAAAACCAAAAACCAAAAAAGCTAATAACTGGAGTTAGTCCCTAAGAATGGATCTGATTTGGCTCTCAGAATACACTACAGTCAATTATGATTATTTATTATTTATATTACAGTGTACACAAAATATGATAGAAAGGCAGCACATTAACTTTTAAAGAAGAGTCAGTGTTTCAAAAAAGCTTACAGATTTCTAATCAAGAAATAAATCATACTCCTAAAGCTTGAGTTTTAGTGAAAACGTTGCAATAAGATATGTTCTGTGATGACTGGTAGAAACGTTTGTTACTTTAAATAATTAATTCTGAAAAAAACTATTTTACCATTTCTGACTTTATTATTGTAATCAGACATAATTATATTTAAATTATCTAATTATTTTTAATGAATTGTAACATTTATTTTCACAATTGGGGTTATATATTGATAGAGTAAGAGTAGGTAAAATAAAAAATATAAGATACAGTATGTATAAAGAAGGAATTGAAAAGTTTTATATCTGCAACAGCATAGACAGGAGAGAGAAAAGAAAGGAAAAAAATAATCTTAGAATATAGGAAAAAAAACAGAAATCAAGCCTGGAGAATAACTGGTTAGAGTGGAAGTTAGAGATTATTATCTGAAATACTCAGCTGAAAATAAGAGATGAAAAAATAGGTTGAATAAAAGCAAAAACTTCTGAAAAATGAACTCTAAGAAGGTGAACGATCACTGCCTAGATGAAGTGAAGAAACTGAAGCCTTACTCTTCAGATGATTTTGATGTGTATAGAGAGAAATATTTTAAAATTTATTACAAGAAGCAGGAGCTTTAATTAAAAAATATAATAATTTTAAAATGTGACATATTTTCAGGAGCAGATATGCCTGTGTTTATACATCCAATTAATTCTAATTCAAGGTATACTGAAGTCAGTCTGACTAGGTGTTTACATTAATATAGTTCCAAATGTTGGTGGCTAAAGTAAGACCTTATGACACATCTAACATGTTGTTGTGCTGTATTTCTTAGTTACACCGTTCTGCAAAACACTTTCTGTCTGAAAATATATTATAGATTTCATGGTTAGTGTATTAGAGCCCCTTAGTTTTGATGTGTTTTTTTCTTATAATTGAGCTTTTCTCTTTACAAGAAAGGATTATTATTATTGTTTTCACTTTACAGTTAGAGAACTGAGTCACAGAGAAACTAGTATGTCATCCATGGTAAAGACAAAAAATATAGAAGTGGTAACCGCCAGCATATATTTCAAAACCCAGGTGAGTATTGTATTCCAGTATTGGAAACCATCTATCATTTTGCATCTCACTGTTAAAAAAAAAATTGTTGAGTTTAATTGGTAGCATTCATTCTTTTCTGTTGTTTTTTCATGTATCTTGTCACATCCAGTGAACTTCTATGAAGGACAGAAGTAAACATACTGAGTCTTTTTAAGTGTTCATATACTGTCCAGCTTCTTCAGGGTGAAAGGAGTGATCCACAGCAGTGTGACGTAGATGAGGAAGTTGTGGGTGGAAGTAAGGACATTGTAATGCATTTCTTTAATCCCAAAGTGAATGCAAAAACTCAGAATGCTGAAATTATATACAGTTTATGCTTAGCTGTGTGAGAGTCATATTGAATACCTCAAAATCACGGGTTCACGTTGCTCATTTGTATCATGCATACCGAATACTTTTATGGGAGTCATCAGTGGGTTAATTTAAGTTACCTTAAATTTGAAGAAACTAAAATAACTAATTCTGACAGATAAGTTAAAAATGAAGCTTTTAAGCTAATAAACTAGTAAGGTAAAAATCAACTTAGATAGTGAGGGTATGTAGTGAGGAGCTAGTCCTAGGGCAAGAAAGCACTGAACGATTTCTCTTTCTTCCAGCCTATATTGCTATCCGTTAGTGTTAATCTATCCAATAGTGTTAATCTCTGCATCAGCTTTGATGCATACTGCATCTGGTGGAGTAATGTCAGAGCCAGATGTACACCTGCAGGTAATTTGCCAACATATATTATGCCTATGTCCTGGATCTGCTTCCTCCCCTTTTTCACCTTCTTTCTGTTCCCAAAAAACTAGAGTGCATTTTAAGCATTTTACAGCACTTGAATTTCCTGTCTTTTTAACATAAGATGGCTCAGGTTCTGACTCCAAAGACATTTTGAGCATTTTCTGCTAGAAACAAACAAAATCACTTCAAAATTTCGTAAAACTAAATCAAAACCATGTAACACTAGAGTCTCCATGGATAAAACACATGATACTATAAAGCATGTACTGTATGCAAGGATGTATACATTGTCATGCCTGATTATCTACCTGTATGATGACAGTCAGATGATCAGTTTTGGAACTGTTCTTATGTACTTACTATGCATATTTTAAACACTTTACATGACTTGAAGGCATCTCACAGAGCTTGTAAATCCAGTGGTTTTGCATTTTTTTTGTGATCTGAAGTTCCTACACGTTAGATTTGGTCATTTTAGTGCCAGAAGAGAATTAGCAAATTGCATCCATAAGTAGGTGTCCCAACTTTTTTAATATTGTGGTGACACTTTTATGAGAGACCCTGAGATACAAACCATTAAATGAAGGAGCATACTAAAGAATTCACTGACCCCCTGAGTAGATCTTTATGTAAGGCCAAGTTTGTGAGAAAGATGTTCTTGTCCCACATTTTTAAAGTTGCAAATGGCTGGGGTAAGGAGATAGGTAATAATATAACTTCACAAATATTGAATCAATGCTGACACTTGCATATCTTATTCATGTTACTGTTGATGGTTTAAGAATTTCACAGTTACTGGAGTGCTGTATCTTTTTAGAGCAGATATTGTTAATCAGGAGGATTATACCAAAAATGAGTGAAAATTTGATACACAAACCTCTTGCATAGGCATAATCATTTCAGTTTGGGAAGTGAGATTTGGACCCAGATTAGTAAAGCAAAAATTTTCTTCCCAATATTTTTCATCTGCTCCATTGCAATGCATAAGTCTGTATAATTTATCAAAAAAAAATCACACTAATATTCATCTTCCAGTGAAAATGGATCATCATAAAAGCAATTGTGAAAAATAGGCCGAATTTATCAGGAGTCATCACATTGCGGTACATTAGAAAATAGCTAATCTTTTTGTTTCAGCGAAAGAGGGAAAGGTTTTGGGGGTTTTTTAACTCTCATATGCTCCAATTTCAAAATTTTCTTTCTTTCTTTTTTCCCTCCGAGTATCTTGAATGGACAGACTTCTTTAAGCAAACAATGAAAATTTCTGTTAAGTTTGTTTTCTTTAATGTAGAACTTAAATAAAGTGTATCCAAAAGGTGTTTTGTTTTGCATTTTTTTCACTTCTAGACTTTCATTATGTGAAATTCTATTTTCGTAGTTTGGTTATATAAGAATATGTAAAGCTGGGAACAGTTCCAACTCACTATGAAGAAGTAACTGTATTTTGCTGAAAAAAAGTTAAAGCTCTGAGCACTGTCACATGGAGAATAAATGAGGCCAATTAATTCAGTTTTTCTAAAAGTGAAAATACTTTAGAACATGAAAAACATGGATTTAACTAATTGATTAACACTCTGGAGATACACTATTGGCCACAAACACTTACTGTGAGACAATGTATGGAATGGCTCCCATTGTATCTGCATGCAATAAACTGTCTTTTGTTAAGGATAAACTAAATGTTATAAAAATAAATAACTATCTGTAATGGATAAGGCAAAAGATTCATTTATCTGAGAATTCTCCTACCAGCAGTGGTGAAATGCAGATGCCAGGAACAAATCACAGTGTATATATATATATGTAAACATATTTTAAACTCCCAAGTAAATAGTGATAGTTCTTCACAATATTCTCCCAGCCTCCAAGAACTGACATCTCAGTTACATCCAGAAACAATGGTCGTATTTCTGAATTGCAGAGTCCTTTTTGCTTTGCATGAAGGTTCTTCAGTTGTCGCTTGAGTTCCTGCAGACTTTCGGCACATATTAAGCCAAGAAGCTTTACAGTTTAACTACAGACAACCAAGAAACACTCGCTTTTCTTCTTTATGAACTTACTACTTTTACCTGATGTTAGTTCATGATTCATAAAGTCCAGTGGGAAACTAATCTCTCTTCACACCTCCATATCACCACAGATGTTCTCCAGGCCACTCTTTCTCTTAAGGCTTCTGACTTAGCATTTCCATGTCTCCAGGGAGACCTTTCTGCAGCCTTTCAGTACTTACAGGAGGCCTACAGGGAACGTGGGGACGACTCTTTCTCAGGGAGTGTAGTGATAGGACAAAGGGCTTGGTTTCAAACTGAAAGAGAGTGGATTTAGATCAGATATTAGGAAGAAATTCTTTTCTATGGGGGTGGTGAGACATTGACACCGGTTGCTCAGAGAAACAAACAACAAATCAGAACATTTTCTTTAAAAATACCTATATATTTCTGGATTTATGTAAAAACAAATGTTTTGAACAAAATTGAATGTAAAGAATTTAGGCCTAGAAAGTTAAAATAGATATCTTTAAGCAACAGTAGTGATATCATAAGACTCAAGTTTCTCCTGAACCGAGATGGTTAATCTCACTTAAGATCACTGTTCCTTTCCCTTCCTGGAATGGACCACAGTCTCACTCCCACGGAGACCTACTAGTCAAGATAGCAGTAATCTCACTATAAAGAATTCAGTTCTGAGCTCTGAAACAGAACTTGTACACAGCATAAAATCTTGCTGGCTAACTTCCAACACTTAAAGAGCCTCAAAGCTTTTGATAGGAGCAGCAAAGACCTGACTTGCAGACAGCTAATGATTCGGTTTCCAGACAAACAAATCCATTTGGGAAATGGCAGACCAACTGTCATTAAAAGGCTTCCAACAGTGCAGGTCACTATACCATATCTAATGGAAAGGTCATCTCTCAGGAAAGGTCAGAAAACAGCAAGAGCTTTCTACTTTTTTACTTCAGATCATTCCATTGAAACAGACCGCAAAATGAGTGGAAGGAGACGGTTCAGCCACACGGTTGCATATTCTGACTGTCTGGCTTGTCAAGAGAGCACAGAGGCTTTAGTATAGAAAGATGTATGAACTAGGACAAAGAAGATATAACACCAGTACAAAATGTATATTTTACTGTTGCTTAAACACAGCAATTATGGCTAGCTGCCTGACAGTGCCGGCTCATACTCAGCAAAATGTTTTCTTTAAGTTAGATATGTGGGAATTATTATTTAAAAAAAAAAAGAAAAAAAAAAGAAAAAGAATGTATGATATCTACTAGGAACATTTTAAATGTTATTTTAATTTGCACCCAGTCCAAAGTTCAGCTCAGACCTCTCCCCAAGAAGTCAGGAAATGTAACTCTTTGCTATGGCTAAAGGATTAACAAAACTCCACCACGAATATAAAAACATCTCTGCATACTCTAGAGCAATTTTCACCTTCCAGTAGCTAATTAGTTCAAAAGTGGATCTCCCTATATGTTCCAGGTCCAGAAAATTTTTAAACGTATGGCCTCTTAGCACATGGTAAAATAAAAAATGGACAAAATCCATGGAAATATGATATGCATTCGCATAAAATTTGCTGCTGAATCTTTATGGATCTCTCTTCTGTTTTGCTGGTATTCCTATCCTGTATCACATATCATTTTTATTACTTAAATCTTTCAGATAGTAAGGGTCATCTCCAGAACACACAAAATCAGTTTCTCCAGCTATAGTGACATTACTTATCATTTACTGGTTTTTTTAGGGAGTATTCTGGATGTTTTGGCGTACATGTCTCTCGTTAATTTTTTCTGATTCATAAGTTATAAATTGCTTTTTTTTCCAGTATTTTATGATTGGATGTTTGTCTGTAAAGTTCTTACGTTTTGTTTGTGATGATACTGATCCTGTGCAATTCCAGACTAGAGAAGCAAAGAGGATCATTTTTTGATCAGAGTATCAAATTATTCTTTGCCTCATTCTTTATGATGAAACTACTTTATGTCTAATTTTCACTTGCAAAAGGCAAGAGCAAGCCAAAAGAGCTTCACACATTGCAATTCACACGGCTAATAACATTTTCAAATTCTGATGAGAAATAAGCATTTCCTGTCACTTCTAATGCACTTATATTTCAATGTATATTTTAAAGAAAATTTGTTTTTAAGAAAAGAAATCTTTTGAATATCTTACTATGTGCTGAGTATCTAGTCCTAGAAAGATGATTCAGGTTGCACCTTGAAGATAATCCAGGGAAGATATGGGCTGACAGTTAAAATTAATTTGAATTGTTCAAAAAATAAGGGTATCCTTAGATTCATTTGCATAATATACTAATTCTATATTCTACATTCTTTAGAGTATGTGACTATGAGAACTACTGAGTGTGAAATCTTTATTATTTACTACTTAAAAAGAAGATTTTTTTCCTTTTATGATTTTTTTGTTTAAGTTATTTTAGTTGATTCAGATTGAATAATAAAAAAATACTAAAGGCTTTTCACTAAACAGTAGTTTTAGTGGGATGTCAGAAGAGAAAATATGGAGTAAATTTGTGTAATCTAAATGTCTTTTTCTGACGGTCATTTGTGCTGAGTGAATAGTTTTATAGCAATAATTATTAAACCTTTCTGCTATTTAGTCACTCCATAATACCATTTTCAGTTACTCAAAATTTGCTT